CGCTGGCCAAGATACCGTGGAAGGGTATTAACCGGGGCGGCCGCTGGGTTTCGAACCACGCGAACTTCTGCAACGGCGCCCTGCCGCTCGAAACTCGTCACTGCCAGGAACCGGGATTCATAACCTGGACTCTCCCGAGAATCCGTCTCGTGGATTAGGAACCCGACATCACGCGGGCCACATCGAAGGCAAAGACCCCCCCCCCCCCGTTAGAGCCGTGACAGACTGTTGGGGCGAACCATCCCCTCGTGTGCCGTGCCAGGCCCTCACAGGCGCTCGTTAACAGCACTTGCCCCAACAGACTGCGAAGGCTATACGGTGGAGGTGGGGGGGGAGGGGATCTTTGTCTTTGTAAGCTACAGTACATACTTAACAAATACGACCTTTGGAACTGAAACAAAACGGAGCGGTAGTTTTGGAATGTATGGATTATGACCGCCTTCCACCGACTGACTCGGCCGCTTTCCGAGCAGGATGCACAGAGATGCCTAGAATATTCAACGCCGCCGCCGCCACCATCGCCACCATCATCATCTTCTTCATATCCGTGGCCTTGAGCCCGCGGTGAAGGTCCACGTGCATTAATAACAATAACAACGATAACGGCAACAGCCTCACTGAGTCGTAAGAGCGTTGTTCAGGAGGAGGAGGGCGTTGTTGAGTCGCGACGTTTCGTAATTGTCTCGACAAATTGCTAAATGTAACGCTTTAAAAAAATTCAACAAAAAATCAAAATAGTGCAATAAAAGTAGGATTTAACACATCCCATCAGCCGCATGGCAACGGACCCCCCCCCTCCTCCCGTGCGAGTGAGCGTGTTTAACGACGGTACTGGGGCGATTTCGGCGCGTAGGGTTTCATCAGCAGGGGCCAAATCTGTCTCGAACCCGGCGCTGATGAAGCTGCCCCGAATGCTTTTCAGGCAAGAGGCCCTCTCTCCCCCCCTCCCATCACCTCCCTCCCTCCCTGTAATGTCACTGGGCCCTAGGTTCGACTCGGAATGAACCCATCTTCGGCTGGGACGACGGGGAGATGAATATTTGCGTTGGGGGTCGGATGTCAGCCCTGGGCCCCGAGGTGGTGGGGCGAGGGGGGGGTTGGTTACGTTACACGATGATCGGTCGCGGAGTGGGACACTTCACCCGTTATGTAACGCTTCACTTGCATTCGCTCCCCGATTCTTTATTTTATTCTTTAATGGAAATTTTCGCGTCGCTTTCACGCGTAGCTGCCAACGACATCGCCGCATTCCGTTCCGGGGGGTGGGGTGGGGTGCTATGCTCTGAAAAAAACCCGTGTGTGTGTGTCTGTGCGTGCGTGCGGAGCGGTGGCGCAGCGATTAGCGGCAGCGTAGCGGTGAGCGCAGAGCGGTGAGCGCAGAGCGGTGGCGCAGCGATTAGCGGTGAGCGCGCCGCGCTACGAACCCGGCGATCAGAGTTCGATTCCCGCTCGCGGCCACCAACACCCACTGACGATTGATCTCAACCGGTGCTGGTCCTCCCCTAGATCGACTCGGCCTGGGGAGACAAAGGCGGCCGGGCGTTATCATGGAAACACTCATCATACCCCCCCCTCCCACCTCGTGTGACGTTTCGGCCATCAGAGGCGCCACTCGCTAGCAGCACTTGCCCCAGCAGTCTGTTAAGGCTACGCGGGGCATCTTTGTCTAGTCTGATGGGAAGGTCCGCGTCTGACCAGGACTGCAACGTGGAGCGACCGACTCTGCTGCACTGAACTCAAAACTTGCCAAGGAGAGGGGGGGGGGTAGGGGGGGGGGTAGAGGTGGGGGCGCTCCTGAAATGTTAAGATTATAAATGAGGGCCCGACATTTATACATTCCTACAAAACAACACTCCATGTATTTTCTCTAATAATGATCAATACGATCGATGCCAATTATCGGGGTCTCAAGGGGGCCGGGGAGGGATGGCGGGTGGGGGGGGTACCCACACCCCCCCCCCCCCCCCAGTGCCGGACTAAGCTCGTGCGGGGCCTGTAGCATATGTTATAAAGGGGCCCTAGATAAATATTAAAACACACACATTTTTAACTTGCATAGTAAAGTAATTGTATTTTTAGATTTGTTAAACAGCCAGATAATACGCCAAATAGCTAACCTTAATCACCCGGTCGTTCATAAAAGTTGAAGGCAGTGTAGTACTATAGTAATAGAGCAAGTGCAAAATCGCTGAACCGGAATTGAAAGCTTGAAAGCATTTAGCGCGGGGCCCTTGAAAGTGCGGGGCCGTAGCTACTTCAGATGTAGTAGTAGCTACTACATATGTAGCTACTACACATGTAGCTACTACACATGTAGCTACTACACATGTAGCTACTACACATGTAGTAGTAGCTACTACATATGTAGCTACTACACATGTAGCTACTACACATGTAGCTTACTTGTGCTTCTGTGATCACCCGACACTGCACCCCCCCCCTGCCTCTGGATCCGCCACTGCCCCCCCCCCCACACCAAGCAGATGTGTGGGGGGGGGGGGCAGAGCTCGCCCCCACTACCCCGCTCGATCAACGCTCGTCGCCGCTTCACTTGGAAGATGCGGGGCGATGTGGGGGGGCGGGGGGGGGCTCCCGTAGGCGGATGGTCAAAGCGACGAGTCCTGGTCGGGTAGAGATGGGCAGACACATGGCGTGGTCACTGCCCCCCGGGCTCGGTCAGTTGCCCTATTGACCACAGCCGCGAAGCGCTCTTGATTAGACCCCTTGCCGTGAGAACACAGCGGCCACGCAGAGTCGGGCCCGGCACGGGATTGTGCCCGTCACGTGTGTGTGTGTAAGACACGCAGAGTAGGACCGCCTATTCCACAGCCCCCGACATTATCTGTCTGGCTTCTTGCTGCACGCCTTTGTCTCTCTTTGCATCTGTCTTGCGTCTCCCTTGCCTCTCTCTGTCTCACTGTGCACTGTGTGTGTGTCTGCGCCGAGCTGTTTGTCTTAAGCAAGCCCTGGGTTGCTGACGCGAAACTGAGAAATATGCGAGATTGGTGCGGAGGTTTGTGTTTGCGTTGAACTGACGCCACCGAAATTACTCGTTCCGGGAAAAGCCGTGCGGCTGATGGGATGTGTCAAAAAAAAAAAGCACGTGTGCCTTTTTGTTGACTTTATTTTTAATGCGGTGGGACAGACGGTGAGAATTTGACGTGCGTTGTTTAATTATTTATTCCATCGCCCACATTTAGATACGCGTGACCTCTGACCCGTGTTTGTAGTGGTCAAGGCTGATGTGGACCATCGCAGTGACCCAGCGTTGCCACACCGGCAGTAAAAACCTGGGACTCTCTGTCCAGGAACCATAAAATGGTTTTATGAACAGAATAACTACGAAGTTTGTATCTGTGTGCCCGTGTATGTTTGTGTGGAGTCGTGTGTGCGTGTGTGTTGAGGGGCACGGCAGTGCAGGTGTTAGCGCGCTGCGCTACGAACCCGGCGACCCGAGTTCGATTCCCCCTCACGGTGGCGATTATCTGAACCGGTCCTGGGTTTCCCCCTAGGTCGACTCAGCCTCAAACGGGAACCTGGTGCGGTGTGTAAACATCGCCACTCGGGATACAAAGGTGGCCGGGCATGGTGGTGGTCACCCACCAGCTCTTGTGCCGTGTCGGCCTTCATAGGTGCTCGCTAACAGCACTTGCCCCAACAGTCTGTTAAAGCTATACGGGGGATCTTTGTCTTTGTTGATGTCGTGTGTGTCTTTGCCTTTGTACGTCCGCGCTTGCCTCAGCCCTTGTGGCCTCCTGCTCGTGATTTTTTGCCAAGCCTTATGGCCTCAAAGTGCACCTAGCCTGGTACAAGTGCTGCTGCAAGTGTCCCCAACCGCCTCACCGGCCAGGTGGTGGCTCGGCGGTGGAGCGAGCGGCTCGCAATCGGAAGGTCAGGAGTTCAACTCCTGGTTGGGGGGTTGACTCAGCCCATCATCCTTAATGGGTCGATAAAATAAATACTATACTTTGTGTGTGTGTGGGAAGGGGGAAGTATAAACGTTAGTTATTTTGTGGATGTACTTGCCCCCGTCATATGACTGTGGAATTTCCACCAGAGGCTCAGTGCTGTGAGTAATTAGATGAGTACCATTACCTCAATGCTCATTTGAGCAGGAGATCACTCTGCCTTGACTTTGGCTGCTGACTGACAAATACATTTCGATGTAAAGCTTTCGTGACTGCAGGGATTCATCTTCTTGGTTCTTTCGGTAAAGTCACGAAGAAGGGAAATAATAAAATAATAAAAATAAAACATAATAAAATTATTCTCACGACGTTTCGGCCACAACGCAAGCAGCCGTCCTCAGGTGAAGACCAGGTCTGTCGGGGAGACAGCGTCTGAATGAAACACCACCACGCTTGGAGCGTCTATTTAAGCGTGGAGGTGTTTCATTCAGACGCTGTCTCCCCGACAGACCTGGTCTTCACCTGAGGACGGCTGCTTGCGTTGTGGCCGAAACGTCGTGAGAATTATTTTATTCTGTTTTATTATTTGATTATGTTTTATTATTATTTTATTATTTCCCTTCTACGTGACTTTACCGAAAGAACCAAGAAGACTGACAAATACTGCTGCGGATCACCGTTGCGTGCGTGCGTGCGTCTAACGCCGTGTTGTCGTGCTGTCCACCTCCACGACGCGCATCGGGAGAAAATTGCGTCCGCGCATTGGCCTGGACGTGGGCCTCCCCTGGGTTGGTTTGGCGTAAATGATGACTGCTGGCCACTGCACAACACCCATGCTTGACCTTAGTAGGTGGTCACGAACTGCCCTCCCCTTGACAGCCTTCAGAATCAGAATATTGTATTCATACTGGAGGAATCCGACGAGCAATGAAACTCTTGTTCACAGATGTCCGGTCTTACGTGGCTACACGGGGGAGGAGGGATGGGGGTGGGGTAGTGGCAACACACCTTTGTCTTAACGCATGTTGACCTATCGATTGTTCCTCCTGCTATGCAAATTAACGCGCGCCTTGTTGATGACATTCTACCCAGAGTACTACTCGTCGGAGAGCATCCTGCGACCGAGGAGCGTATCGCACACACGGAGCAGGGACAGCCCAGGTGAGATGCTCGCACACACGCACACACGCGCACCTGCACACCTGCACCTGCTCGCACGCACTCACCTCTGTATGGATGAGGACGAGGATTTGCATTGACGAGCAAAGGGTGTACCCGTGTGTGTTTACACAAATATCAGTACTGGGGAGACAAAGGCGGCCGGGCGTGGTGTTAGCCACCCACCCTTCCATGTAGGCGCTGCTCGCTAACAGCACTTGCCCCAACAGTGTGTTGAGGCTACACGGGGGGATCTGTGCATCTTTGTGCGGGGAGCGGTGGCGTCGTGGTTCGCACGTGGTGTGCTACCAGCACCACGACCTGGGCTCGTAGGGTTCTAGCTAACAAGACCTGGTCCCGACATTCTACATCATAAGCCCAACGTGTGCATCTATAAGCGCTGAGTTTGATCGTGTTTTTTTGTCTCCTGTGCACTCGCACACTCAAATCACTCACTCACGCACACACTCACCTACTCACCGACTCACTCACCAATCCACTCACCCACTCACTCCTCACTCGCCCACCAATTAAATCACCAACCAACTCATCCACCCATCCATCCATCCACCCACTCCTCACCCACTCACATCGACCTACCCACTCACAAATCCATCCACTCACCCACCAACCAACTCATCCACCCATCCATCCACCCACCCACTCCTCACCCACTCACAACGACCTACCCACTCACAAATCCATCCACTCACCCACTCACCCACCCACTCACCCACCAACCAACTCATCCACCCATCCATCCACCCACCCACTCCTTACCCACTCACATCGACCTACCCACTCACAAATCCATCCACTCACCCACTCACCAACCAACTCATCCACCCATCCATCCACCCACTCCTCACACACTCACATCGACCTACCCACTCACAATCCATCCACTCACCCACTCACCCACTCACCCACCCACCAACCAACTCACCCACCCACCCACCCACCAACCCACTCACCCGCGCGTAGAGGAGGCCCAGATCGCGGCGTGCAAGCCGCGCAACGCGAGTGTGGAGATCCCGCGAGCGCTGCTGGACACCTCCTCCGCCAACTTCATGCTGTGGCCGGGCTGCGTGGAGCTCCCGCGCTGTTCGGGCTGCTGCAACACGGCGGCGCGGCGCTGCACGCCGTCGCGCATCCACACGCGCCAGCTCAAGGTGGGCCCCCCCTCCTCTGTGTGTGCCCGCACGTGTGTGCGTGCGTGCGTGTGTACACCGTGGGGAGCGGTAGTGTAGCGGTTAGCGCGCTGCGCTATGAACCTGGCGACCCGGGTTCGATTCCCGCTCACAGCTAACACCAGTGACGATTATCTGAACCGGTCCTGGGCCTCCCCTAGGTCGACTCAGCCTTAAATGAGTACCTGGTGCGGTGTGTAAACATCGCCACTGGGGAGCCAAAGGCGGTCAGGCGTGGTGCTGGCCACCCACCCCCTCGTTCGTGTACCGTTCCGGCCCTTCATAGGTGCTCGCTAACAGCACTTGCCCCTACAGTCTGTTAAGGCTATACGGGGGATCTTTGTCTTTGTGTACACCGTTCCGCGCATGCAACGACAACAGCCGTCATTCTCCACGAAGTGGCGGCGACGTCACCACGGCAACTGTGCCAGGCCAGGTGCAGTTTTGAGGCCACGTGAAGTGTCAAAGGCTCGCCGAGGTCACGGCACAGACGCGAGGTACCATGGGTTGACTGACTGAGAGATGACTGGCAGATGCACCAGCTGTGTATCCCCCTGCTGTGCGCGGCGTCGCGTACTCGGCATCGCGTACACAGTGGTGGCAGATAAACATTCGGGGTAGTCAGCCCCTGCAATCCCTTTTCTTTTCAAAGGGAGCCAAAAATATCCCCCTCTATCTTTTTCTACCTGCGTGGGTGCCACTATTTCCCAATCAGCGGCGACGACGACGACAACAAAATCAAAGGAAGATTACGCGGGGGGAAAAAAAATTGAAACGAAAAATAATCAAATCTTAAACCGCGCTTCGACGAGAGGGGACAAAGGAGGCGAGGGACCATGGTCCGGGCGTCTCCCTCGACTGACGCCGATCAAGGGCCACCGATTTAATCTGCAAGAGCGTCGCCGTCGTTGGTGGCGGCGTTGGGACCCCCTTTTTTGTCGTCGCGTGATTTTACTTCTCGAAGGTCGTGGTGGGGAGGGAGAGCTCGGTTTGAAGGCGGCGACGCGACACCGAGCGTGATGCGGAAGCCACCGGGTTTCGCGTGTGGATTTTTGTTTACGACGCGATGTGAAGGATTTTATTCCCGGGATTTCTCTCCAACACTTGGGGTCGTTGTTACGAGACGCGACCGCGTAAGCGCGTCGTCAGCCCGATGCCACGCGGGCCGCCACCTGTGGCAGGACACCCAAAAAGAAAATCACGGAAGTGTCGTCAATGTAAGTGAGTGATGTCACTTCCGGTGACGTCACACTTTCGGAATATTCGGAAACAATTTTTTTCTTTTTCTTCCTTCCCCCCCTCCTCCCCTTGATCATCTGAAAGGTTTCGGAAAAACGCGCGTTTTTATTCGGAGTGATCGGACCCCAAAAATCAACGTCGAATCGTAATCCCGGTTGCGAGACGCCGGCAAACGCGTGAAATTGCCACGATGGTCGCCACGTTGCCGCACGGCGGCGGCGGTGGCGGCGGCGGCGGCTACGCTGCTGCATGTGGCTGCCTCTAATCTAGCACTGCTGTGCAGGCAGCAGCGAGAGGTCGGTGGATCATCGCACAGACGGTTGTGATACTCCCCTCTCTTCCAGTGGCGGGCGTGGAGGCAGTGCCATATTCTGGCTCGCCAGGAGAAGGCGGTAGAGAGAAGTGGACTGATCGCCATCTGTTTCCATCTGTAAGGGGATGGCGTGCTGCTGCCGTCCCCTTCGCGCAAGGAGTGGGGTTTTCTCCCAAGTGCCCCGGTTTCCTCCAACGCTTGTATAATAAATATACAGCTGGTAATTAATTGGCTGCAAACATCTTAAAGTAAAAAAAAACAATGCGGCAGGACCCACCTGAAAATGAGCCCTATGGCTCTCCTGGTGACGAGATGTTAACTACCTCGCCTGGTATACAGGAGGTCGTGGGTTCCATCCCAACCCTGACGCCTGCTGTGTATTTGGAGTTTGCGTGTTCTCCCCGTGGTTGCGTGGATTGTCTCCGGGTCCTCTGGTTCCTCCGGTTTTCCCCTCCACATTTAGAATCAGTATTGGGCTGCTATAAATTTCCACGCGATAAGCCACTTCGTTGAGCTATGATTTGTGATAGCCAGGCTGCTTCTGAAAAAAAAGCTTTACAGCTCAGTGGGGCTTACGTGGTAAAAAAAAAGTTAGTAAAATAGTAAATAAGTACATTTGCTATATTATTTTAAAAAGTGATAGTATAATTGCGTGAGACCACACACGTAGTAGGGGAGAGGTGACTGAGAGGGTAGGGGAGGGGGGTACGGAATGATTGGTGGGACGTCGTAGGTCGGTCTCATGCGGAGTCGGGAATGTCACGGCGGGAATGTCCCCTGGAATGTTCGTGCCTGCGGGTCGCCCAGGAACACTTCTGTGAGCGGGCGTGAGCGAGTGAGTGCGCGGTGCCAGTTCTGCCTTTAGGGTGGCTAACAAGAGGGAGGGAGACAGAGAGAGAGGGAGAGAGAGGCTCGTGGATCTGTAGCAGGGAACTGATTTATCAAATAAAACTTTCAAACGGATGCTCTTGGATTAGTGTCGTTGTCATGGGCCCTGGTGCAAGAAATACAACTATTTGGGCCCCCTCCTGTCCAATCTCTCCGCACCCCCGCCCTCCCATCTCCGTAGCCCAGCGCCTGGACCACTCTCGTGGGTGCCAGTGGCAATTGCACCGCCTGCGCACTCGGTAGTTGGCAACTCCCGTGGCTTGCGCTGTGCTCACGACAGCCGCGTCAAACCCGCGGCGGTGGCGGCGTAAAGATCGATCACTGAGCGATTCGTTCAAAAAAGGCGACGTGCGTGACACGGTATCCTGCATTTGTACGTAGGCCGGCGGAGTGGTTCAAAAACTCCAGGAAAGAGCACGGGAAAAATAAAAACAAGAAAAGCAAGAAACAATACCAACGAGAAGGCCCCCCCTCCCTCTCGCAAAAAAAACGAGACGACCTAAAGCTCACGAGACCGATTCCTGAATCTAATCCTGGCCCCCAAATGACGGTAATCCATTGCATCCGCAGGCGTCGTTTTTTTTTTTACGGTTTGCGCGGTACTGTCGGTTGCTTAATCTCAGCCGGAGCAGTCCGGAACAGTCCGGAATATTCCGGTACAGTCCGGAACAGTCCGGAGCGCTGTCCTGGGATTTATTTTGACGCCCGGCCAAATCAATATCGCCACATTTTTTCATTTTACCCGTTAATTGCATTACGTTCATATACGTTCAAATAATATAGAATAAGTATTATTATGGATAGGCGAACTGTAGTGGTAGTGCCTTACGTCGGGCGAGATGAGCAGCTGGCTGGACTGGTGGTTGGGTGGGTGAGTTGCTGGGTGAGGTGGCTGGGTGTGGGTGGGTGGCTGGGTCGTTGGCTAGATCAGCAGCTGGCTGGGTTGGTGGGTGGGTTGGTTGGGACAGGGTGGGAGGGATGGCTGGGAGGCTGGGTGGGTGGGTCGCTGGGTGAGGTGGGTCGCTGGGTGGGTGGGTGGCTGGGTGAGGTAGCTGGATGGGTGGGTTGCTGGGTGGTTGGAAGCACGGTGGGAGGGATGGCTGGGAGGCTAGGTGGGTGAGTTGGTGGGTGAGGTGGGTCGCTGGGTGAGTGGGTGGCTGGGTGAGGTGGCTGGGTGGGTGGGTTGCTGGGTGGTTGGGAGCATGGTGGGAGGGATGGCTGGGAGGCTGGGTGGGTGAGTTGGTGGGTGAGGTGGGTCGCTGGGTTGGTGGGTGGGTTGGTTGGGACAGGGTGGGAGGGATGGTTGAGAGGCTGGGTGGGTGGCTGGGTCGTTGGCTAGATCAGCAGCTGGCTGGGTTGGTGGGTGGGTGGTTGGGAGCAGGGTGGGAGACTGGGTGGGTGAGTCGCTGGCTGGGTGGGTGGCTGGGTCGTTGGCTAGATCACCAGCTGGCTGGGTTGGTGGGTGGGTGGATGGTTGGGAGCAGGGTGAGAGGGATGGCTGCGAGGCCGGGTGGGTGGGTTGGGAGTGCTGGGGCATTTCTGTCGTGCCATGCTGCCCGTTGCCGTACCAACAGCGAGGACAAAAGACGATTCACCACTCTGCCCGGAAGCCTCTTCGCCTCACAGACAGGCATCGTGGGTGGGTGCCAGCCGCGTGCTGGGCTCGTGTGCGTGTGTGGCAGGGCGCTTGATATCAATCAATTAATTCATGTGTAATTCATTCATTATTACCCCTCCCTCCACGTTTCTGTTAAAAGTCCTGAAGCCAGCAGCAGCAGCTGTGTGGGCAGCCGCTGTTGTAACGCTGCGAGGGACCGTTCTTCTTCTTATTATTCTTATTCTTCATTCTTTCGTAGATGCAGAGCAACGACTACAATTTGACATTGTAAGTTGGTCAAGCCCAGACGGCCGCGTCAGGAGACCAGCGGAGCGCATCGACGCCGCGATGTCGCGCTCCGGGGATCGGGGGTCGCATTGCGTCGTTCTGCGTCGTGTCGCGGATGACCCACCACGACGATGGGTCACCACCGAGCGGTTTTAAGTCCTCCATCTTGCGCATCGGGGCATCGTCCGCGCATCTTTTGCCCGCTTGTGGTTTGTGCGGCGGATGATCGTGACGATGACGATGATGATGCGGCCTAGGACGAGGGTCGTCGAGTCGACACGTGACGGGGCCAGGGGGTCGCGCGTCTCCTCGCCGGCGTCTCACGCGGGGCCGGGCTGAGCGGCCCGAGGTTGAGCGGCATCGCGATCGGGGCGGTTGAGAGCTACTCGAATCCTGGCCGCGGTCACGCTAAGACTCTGCCCTTCGTCCCTCCGGAGGAGTTGGTACCAAAGATATTATGAACACCACCCTCGTGGTTGTCCTATAGAGAGACTCACCCCCCCCCCCGCTCCCAGCTCCACTCCTGCTATAGGAATGTGGAATTTCCACCACTGGCTCAGGGTTGAGCACCAAATGCGCGTGTTTTTGTTGTTGCAAGAATTCACTTAAGGTTTGTGTTTGACTCGTAAGTAGACTCGTGGTTTTTGGTTGAGGCCACACCGCACAAGTAAATTATTCGATGTTTCTCTCTGTCTCGTGACCCCCCTGGATACGCAACGGGTCATCAAGAACAACAACAACAACAAAAAGGCTGATACGGACGTTTCGATTGATGGTGACAACCACCAGCAACGCCATCATCGTCGTAATCATCGTCGTAATCATCGTCATCATCATCGCGCCGTCATCGTCGTTGTCATCGTCATCATCGTCATTATCGTCGTCATCAGGCCATTTCTAGAACGCGAGGCGATCTCGCTTGACCACTTTTGTTTATTTTGTAGGGTGGTGGAAGGTGTACGACACACGGTGGCGCGTGACTCCTCGCGCAGCGATCTGATGCCCCGCATCCTCCCCTCCCGACCCCCTCCCCACAAAATGTAAAAATTATTAATCGTAATCACGACCGTGAAAGTTCGCGCGTTAGATTGTTGTTGCTGTTGTTGTTTTGCTCGTGCGGTGGCCCAAAACGCCAAGCGGCCAGCAACAAGCAGCACTACCGCAGTGGTAATTATCTCTGAGAATCGGAGTGCGCGTCTGTGACCTCTGCCCCCCCCCCCACCCACCCCCCCACCCCAGTCGCTTCTGAATGCCGTGATTTATATTTTCTTCTTCTTCTTGTGGCCGGGTGTCACCGTGGGTCAGTGTGTGCGCGCGACGATCAATCAGGAGGTCGCGGGGGGTTCACATCCCAGTCGGGGGTCGACTCGGCTCATGATCATCGTCGTCGTCGTCGTCGTCATCGTCACCGCGGCTCGCGCTGCTGCTGCTGCTGCTGCTGCTCTGGAGACGGCGAGATCGATGGTCGATGTTCGGTCGCCGCGTCGATGGGACACCCGTCGCGATTTCTCGCTCAACGGAGTCGGGCCGCGCGTCCGCTGCTCCTCGACGCGGTCGCCTGCCGGCTTGACCACTTCCGTCGTGAAATTGTCGTTCTTGCTCTGCATCTACATCAGCCGTCGTACGAAAGAAGAAGTAGTAGATCATCATCACCATCCCTCGGGGGGTGGGGTCACAGATGAGAACCGATCTATGTGGGGGGGGGCGGGCACTGCCACCCTGGTGGAGTGGAGGGTTTTGGCCCAGGGGTTGGCAAACAAAGTAACAAGAAGATGCCATTTTTTGTTCGAATTCGATACTAAACTCAATACTTCAAGAGCGTGTGAATGCATCCGTGCGTACGCCACGTCACGCCACGTGACAGAGCGGTCCGTTAAAGAGCGCGGCTGGGCACGAGCGATTTCCCACACATCGCGATGGACGAAGCTGAGTGAGAGCCACCTCACCCCCCATCCAATTCACTCGAACACTCACTGGGTCAGGCGGCAGTCGCTCAATTCACCAACTCGTCCGCTCGCTCGTTCGCTCACTCATTCACCCATCCACTCACCCACTCACTCACTGAATCCCCCACCCACACACTCGCTCACTCATTCACCCATCCACTCACCCTCTAACTCGCTCAACCCCCCACCCACTCGCTCGCTCGCTCATTCACCCATGCACTCACCCTCTCACTCGCTCAATCACCAACCCCCTCGCTCGCACATTCACCCATCCACTCACCCTCTAACTCGCTCAAACCCCCACCCACTCGCTCGCACATTCACAACATGCACTCACCCACTAACTCGCTCAATCCCCCACCCATTCGCTCACTCATTCACCCATGCACTCACCCACTCACTCGCTCAATCCCCCACTTACTCACTCAATCCCCCACCCACCCACTCGCTCACTCATTCACCCATGCACTCACCCTCTCACTCGCTCAATCCCCCACCACTCGCTCACTCATTCACTCACCCATGCACCCTCTTACTCACTTGACCAACGCGCGTTTCCCAACCCACTCGCTCACTCAATCATTCACTCACCCTCCCGCTCACCCACCCGACATTACTCACTCGCCCGCAAACTCCGCACCTCTGGACAACCTCACGTGTTGCCTTGTTTGGCAACACGTGACTCATCGCCCGGGCTTGTCTGCACGTGACGTCACGCGCGGCATCCCAGCAGACGTCACACGCACACGCACGCGCACGCAGCACAGAGCACTCTCTGTTTCATTCCTTATTCCCCGGGTCCTCAATGGGTGCCCGCGTGGTCACACCCAAAGGGTCCCATTTCATCCGCCCATTCATTCTTTTCTTCGTTCGTTCATTACGTGTTGTCTAATGTTCAGTCGTGGCGCGGGGCGCGTCACGTGGGGGTTGATGCAGGACTCCCCCCTCCCATCTCCCGCCGCTCTGTACCGCGAGCGCGGCCGCCTTTATCCCTGAAATCGAGCACTTCCGCGGACAGGCCGAGCCCCGCTGAGCTTGGGAGATCTGACGAGTTGGAGAATAGATCTGGTCGCACCTGGCCGCTACTGGGCGGATTGTAGAGGTGCAGCCCCGCAGTGGCTTGGCTCGCGCTACTGCCAGCGGAAGGGGCCTCTCCGCTGTAGGAAGCTCCAGAGAGAGAGAGCCCCCTCGAGTCGAGCGTGTTTGGCCTACTCTTCTTCCACGCTCGGCAGGACGTCTGGGGAAGAGGTGGGGATTACCGCCCCACACTTCACCCCCCACCACGCACGACCTGCCGATGGACCATTTGCGGTGCGCGCGTTTATCCGCCAGGGTGGCAGCGTGCCCCCGACAGATCTGTGACCCCCCCCCCCCACCCCCCATGGATGGTGGTGATGATGGTGACGAAGACGATGATGATGATCATGAGCCGAGTTGACCCCCGACTGAGATGTGACCTTCCCCCACCACCCCCTTCACGACCTCCTGATTGATCGTCGCGCGCACACTCTGACCCACGGCGACACCCGGCCACAAGAAGAAGAATCAAATATAAATCACGGCATTCAGAGGCGGCGAGGGGTGGCTTGGAGGTCAGGGACGCTGAGCCGGGCAACCGCCAGGAGCCTGGGTTCGAATCCGGGTTCCCAAATTGATGGACTAAGCTCGGTCACCAGTGACTGGCACACAGAGATCCATCGACTTGCACGGAGACCTGTAGACTTACACAGAGACCTATAGTCACACAGAGATGCATACGCTGACGTAGACCAAGTGGTGATTAAACCTGGTTCTCAAGCATAGCGAGTTGGTGATCTCAGCACGGTCACCGATGGCTGCACAGGGAAAAGAAAAAAAACCCCAACGCGTTGGATTTTTGTTGTGCGGTTAACATCGCCCGATTTGCTCGCTCGCTTGCCTGCTCAATAAACCCGCCGCCTTGTGCTCTGCGCTTGGCCCGGGTGCAGGTGGCCAAGATCGAGTACACGCGCAAGAGGCTGCGCATGAAGGAGGTGCTCGTGAAGATGGAGGAGCACCTGGAGTGCCGCTGCGAGTGCGTGCCCGAGACGGCGTGCGGAGACCTGGAGGGTGAGTGACTCGTCCGGCTGCTTGCCCGCTCGCTCGCCTGTCCGCCCACTCACCTGCCCGCACGTCCTCTTGCTCACTCACTCGCCCATCCATTGGCGTAATCGCTCGGCCGCTCACTCACCCATCCACTGGCTCACTCGCCCACGTGCTCACTCACTCACCCGACCGCTCAACTGCTCACTCACCTGCCTGCTCACTCGCTCGCTCACCTATCTGTTCGCTCACTCACTCACCCATCTGCTCATCGTTCACTCACTCACCCGTCCGCTTGCTCACTCACTCGCCCGCCCGCTCACCTGCTCACGGCACGAGTCACCCCACCCACTTGCACGCAGCCGGCCCGGCGGTGGTGCTCGTTGCGGCGCTTCGGGGCTCGAAATCCAGCAGGTCCGTCCCAATGAATACCGCCGTGCGAATTAACTCAACCTTGTCCCAAAGTTGCCACACGAAGTTGGCCCAACGTTGCATGTTTACTGGGCGTTTCCTGATCTCCGAGACGTTCTGTGCCCACAGTCTACGACAGGGACGCGTGCAAGTGCGTGCCAGCGCGCCGCAAGAAGAGGAGGCGCCAGCTGTGTCAAGACCACATGGGCCCCAAGGGTGAGTGTGTGGCACCGCGACAGGTGCCAAGCCAGCCGTGGCACGCAGCACACCGCTCGGACACAACCGCAGAACACTGCTGCGGACAGAGCCGCAAAAAGCAGAGCCACAGAACACCACTCGGACAGAGCCGGAGCACACTGCTGCGGACAAAGCCGGAGAAGGCAAAACCACAGAACATCACGTGGAAAAAACCGCAGAACATCACGTGGACAAAAGCACAGAACATCACGTGGACAGAACCACAGAAGTCAGAACCACAGAACACCACACGGACAGAGGCGGAGAACAGCACACGGACAGAGGCGAAGAACAGCACACGGACAGAGGCGAAGAACAGCACACGGACAGAGGCGAAGAACAGCACACGGACAGAGGCGGAGAACAGCACACGGACAGAACCACAGAACTCCACACGGACAGAACCACAGAACACCACACGGACAGAACCACAGAACACCACACGGACAGAGGCGGAGAACAGCACACGGACAGATCAACAGAACAGCACACGGATAGAACCACAGAACACCACACGGACAGAACCACAGAACACCACACGGACAGAGCCACAGAACACCACACGGACAGAACCACAGAACAGCACACGGACAGAGCCACAGAACAGCACACGGACAGAACCACAAAACAGCACAGGGACAGAACCACAGAACAGCACACGGACAGAGCCACAGAACACCACACGGACAGAGCCACAGAACACCACACGGACAGAACCACAGAACAGCACACGGACAGAGCCACAGAACAGCACACGGACAGAACCACAGAACAGCACACGGACAGAACCACAGAACACCACACGGACAGAACCGCAGAACACCACACGGACAGAACCGCAGCACACGGCTGCGGACAGAGCAAATGCCTTGGAGGATTCCCCGTCGGGCATGGCACATGAGCCGCTCTCAAAGCGCGCGGTGTGAACGTCTCTCGCGCCCCCTGCCGGGCCGTAGCGGAGTCGGCGTGGCGCGGAGAGAAATTCGGTGTTTGAAGTTTTCGTTACCGCAAGGATTCATGCTCTTTGGTTTTTTCGGTAAAGTCGCGTAGGTAAAAAACGAAATGAATGAAAACAACTCAATTAAATCGCAGTTGTTTAGTTGTTTTCATTTGTTTTATTTTTTTACCTACGTGACTTTACCGAAAAAAAACAAAGAGTAGAAATTCGGTACCCAAGTGGTGGGTTGGCAAACGCGGAGCGGCGGATAAGGGGCCATCCCTTTAGTACGTACACATGGAAGGGGGTTAACCCAGATGCGTACGCTTGCGTATGGGGGGTCTATTGACAATGTACGTACGCATAGGAAACGGGGGGGGGGGGGTGAAGCCTCGATAATAATGTGTCTACATTGGCCTTCAAATGAGTTAGATAGTCCGGTGGTGGACTATCTGTTTGCTTAAACACGTTAATATTATTAATCCTTGATCGTTTCTGCGTGGATTAAATATCGGCCGTTCTATAGAATTCGGGGGAGGGGGGGGGTGTACAAAGTTCGCGTGCGTACAGGGAGGGGGGAGGGATCAAGTTGTTGACACATTTGTGCGTACCTACTCAATGGATGGCCCCTAACCGCGCCATGGGGTATACACGGGGTCCTCCCGGGGTGAGGAACCTGTGGCTTTTCGGAGTCGCGATGTGGCTCTGGAAGGATCGCCGCTTCGTGACGCGTTGTTCTCATGAATGGGCAACGGCGTCACGTGTTCACCGCGTCACGTGTTCACCGCGTGCAACGCGCGGCGTTGCAGAAATGTGGAGTTGTTTTTTGTCGTTCGTTTACCCAATTCGACCAAACAAATGTCTCTTCTTGTTACGATTGGTTGCGTGGCGAATGTAAGCCGACGACGATGATATTGTGAACCACTGGGTTAGGTGACGCTGGTGGTGGTGGTGGTGATTGGCGATGACCCAGATGTACGCACGCCAGACACACACACACAGTGAGAGAGTGAGATGGAGAGAACGATGGAGGCCTTTCTGGATAGGGAAATTGTGGCATTGAGAGGTATTAATTGATTGATTTGATGTGCTCAGCATGATCATTTATTTACTTACTTATTTAGATATGTACGTGTGCGTTGAACTTCTGCGCGTGTCTGTGTGTGTGTCTGCGGTAGTGTAGCGGTTAGCACGCTGCACTATGAACCCGGCGACCCGAGTTCGATTCCCGCTCACAGCCAACACCAGTGACGATTATCTGAACCGGTCCCGGGCCTCCCCTAGGTCGACTCAGCCTCAAATGAGTACCTGGTGCGGTGTGTAAACATTGCCACTAGGGAGATAAAGGCGGTCGGGCGTGGTGCTGGCCACCCACCCCCCTCGTGTACCGTTCCGGACTTCATAGGTGCTCGCTAACAGCACTTGCCCCTACAGTCTGTTAAGGCTATACGGGGGATCTTTATCTTTGTGTGTGTCTGCGTGTGTCTCGGTCTCCCTGCAGGTGTCAGGAGGAGATGAGGCCCGTGGCGACCGGCGTGGCCACCGCTACAGAGACCCCCACCCCCCTCCCCGCCTCCTGCCCAGTTAATTGTATTATTGCAATATATGAATAATATGTTTCACACTTTGAATTGTATTGCTACTATTAATATGAATGATGACGATGAAGACGACGATGAAGACGACGATGATGCCGTCACTGGCGATGGTATTGCTTTGGAACACGACGATGTGCGACGCTGAAGCGATTTTAACGGGCGGCGCGGTTTTTGTCGAGTGATGCGGCGAGTCAGCCTGGAGAGAGGTGTGGGATTGAGTGGGATTGTGATTGAGTGGGATTGAGTGGGATTGAATAGGATTGTGATGGTGTGGGATTGAGTGGGATTGCGTAGGATTGTGATGGTGTGTGGGATTGAGTGTGATGGGGAAGTACGGTGTGACATCGCGTGATATGGTGCTGAAATGTCGTGAAATGGGACCTCGGCGCATCTCAACTCCATCAGTCTGGGGTCTCATCTTTCACGCACCCACGAACGGGGACGGGCCTTTGACGGCAAATGAGCAGAACACTCACGGATAATGACGTAAAACAAATTTTGACCACATTTTTAAATTATTATATTACGTTTCGTGTTGTTGGAGTGTTCGAAATGTTCACGTGCATGCGTGTGTATGTGTCATCACCTAGGTCGACTCAGCTTTAACTGGTGCGGTGTGTGTAAGCATCAGCACTGGGGAGACAAAGGTGGTCGGGCGTGGTGCTGGCCACCCACCCCCTCATAGGTACGCCGTTTCAGCCTTCATAGGCGCTCGCTCACAGTACTTGCCCTTAACGGCCCTTTGTTTAAAGGCTAAAATGGGGATCTTTGTCTTTGTCAAGGTGATGACTTATAAAGATCCCCCATATATCCTTCACATGCTGTCGGGGCAAGTGCTTTTAGCGAGTAGCACCTACGAAGGCCGGCACACGAGGTTGTGGGTGGCCAGCACCACGCCCGACCGCCTTTGTCTCCTCCCCATCGGCGATGTTTAACTCCACACCGCTACACCACGTAACCCATTTGAGGCTGAGTCGACCTAGGCGAGGCCCAGGACCGGTTCACATAATCGTCACCGGTGTTGGCGGCCGTGAGCGGGAATCGGTCTCGGGCTGCCGGGTTCGTAGCGCAGCGCTAACCACCGCTCTCCATGACACGTGTGTGTGTATACACGCGTATATACACACACGCGTGTATACACACACACACGCGTGTGCACGCACTTCACACACGCACACGTGGGTTGCGTGGTGAAGCGGTCGGACGTTTTGAGAATCCGGGAACGCTATGTTTGTACCTCGGTGAGAGCCCCGTGAGACGACGCCTATCCATCCTCCTTATCATGCAATACTCTTTCATTACCCTTCTAATAATATTGTTTTTGTATATTTCAATGTAGTCGCTGTTTTAACGTTATTACTATGTTACCGTATATTAGCACGTGATTGATGTGTTTTTAAGGTTTTGGCGTTAAACGAGCCGGGTATCTTTTGGTGCTACGTGTTTTCGATATACCCCGTTCTCAAACACTTTCTTGGCCGTACATCACGCCTGCGCGCGTGCGTGTGCGTGCGTGTGTACATGTGTGTGTGTGCATATGCGTACGTTTATGTATGCGTGCGCGTGGCTTTGTGTGTGCATACGTTTGTGTATATGGGGGGAACGGTGGCGTAGCGGTTAGCGTGCCGCATTATACAAACCCGCCGTTTCCCGATCTGAACTGGTTCCGGGGCCTCCCCTGGGTCGACTCGGCCTTAAATGAGTACAGTAAGTACCTGGTGCGGTGTGTTTGTGTGTAAACAGCAGCACTGGGTAGACAAAGGCGGCCGGACATGGTGCGCGCCACACCACCCCGCTCATAGGTGCGCTCGCTAACGGCACTTGCCCCAACTCTCCGAAGAGGCTATACCATGAGGAATCTTTGTCTTTGTGTACATGCGTATGTATGTGCGTGTGTGGGGGAGCGGTGGTGTAGTGGTTAGCGCGCTGCGCTACGAACTCGACGACTCCGGTTCGATTCCCGCTCACGGCCACCACCGGTGACGATTATCTGAACCGGTCCTGGGCCTCCCCTAGGTCGACTCGGCCACAAATTAGTACCTGGCGTGGTGTGTAAACATCGCCACTGGGAAGACAAAGGCGGCCGGGCGTGGTGCTGGCCACCCACCCCCCTCGTGTACCGTGCCGGCCTTCACAGGTGCTCGCTAACAGCACTTGCCCCAACAGTCTGCCAAGGCCGTACGGGGGATCTTTGTCTTTGTTTGGACACATTCTTTACCCGTCCCCATTCTCCCCGGCGACTTCTTCACGACGCGCTACCAAGACACGTGACTCGTGCTGCTCAACGTCCCCACCGCAATCTTGCGACGCGATGGTATTTAACCCCCCCCCCCCCCACGTGCGTGACGACGATCGTACATTAACAGAGTCAATCCGCCGATAACGCAAATATCCTCGTTTTTTGGAATCTAAAACGGTGCCGCCGCGTTCCGTCGTGCGCGCTTCTGCCCCCCCCCCCCCGAGTCGAGCCCTCTTATTGCGTTCGTTCGTTCGCTCGCCGCGTCGAGCTTGTGCGCTTTCTTTTACTTTTTGCGTATCGTTCGTTGTTCTACACCCGCCCCCGGCACCATCCGATCAGCGCGGGTGGCTACGTACGGTGCGAAAGAAGTTCAACGTGCACGCGCGCGCAACGCACTTCGTACGCGCGTGCGCGTGCAGAAGTCGTCCCAACTGCCCCGGTTGACATCCGGCGTTTTGCCGACGATCGCCAAGTTGGGCGATACCCGCTAATGCACCGCCGCTCCAAACCACGGCGGCCACATCACCGTCGGCTTGCATTGTGTCGGCGGCTCGCCGCGAGACGAAGGAATGGTCGCAGTGGGCAGTGCACCACCCTGTGTCAGGGCGCGTCGTCGGCCCGCAAGAGGCGATGTCAACTGTCGCAGCCACTGCACTCGCTCCGATTGGTCTCATTTACTCGTTGATGCCACGGAGGGACAGATATGATCGTACACGCGGTGTTTGTTTAGTTTTTTTGTTGTTGTTGTTGTCCAAACCGCGTCGCTTGCGTTGTGATCCTACCAACGAATTCGCAATGCCAGAGCCGAAATGATCCGAATTTTAAACGGACAGCCAAATAATATAACCGATGCACGGGTGTTTTTTTTTTAAATATGCTGGTGCAGTCATTGGTAACTGGGCAGATACCACGCTTCAGAAGGCCCTTTTCGATCACAAATTGGGTCTAATACGTGAATATTTACGTCGACGGGAGATGTCGTTGACAAAGGGCAAATTTGTCTCCGTGCGGGGTCAGTGACTCTCTCCATAGTCGGACATTGGTCGCCCGGGCTAACACCGTAAACTGGACACATATCGAGGAAACCCGGCTTATACATCACGGGTGGAACAATCCCCCAGATATCGAACTCATCATCTCGACAGTTCTCGGCTGGTGATCGAAACAACCCCCGTTTTACTTTAGAAAAGCCACATTGAGGCGGAGGATTATTATTTTTTTGCAGGAGGGTCCTGCTTTGAGACGTTTCGCCGACTTATACATCAGC